CTAAGGCGTACTAAAGCGTACTAAGGCGTACTAAGGCGTACTAAAGCGTACTAAGATAAGATAAGATGTGCTTTATTTATCTCACAGGAGAAATGTACATGTTACATTTGGCATGGATAGAGACACTCAGATTGTGCAAAAGGAGGAAATGTGCAAACATGTTACATGCAGGATATATATGTACAATAAAAGTGACAAGTGTCAATTGGAAACAGTGTCAATGGTAGTGCAGGTTTTCACACAGTGATCATTTAAAGTGACTTATTGTACAGTCTGACAGCAGTGGGGATAAAGGCCCTGCTCCTTCCTACACTGAGGGTGTCTCAGTCTTCCACTGAAGGAGCTCCTGGGGCGGCACGGTGGCTGAGTGGATAGCACTCTCGCTTCTCAGCAAGAAGGTCCTGGGTTCGAATCCCGGTCGGACCAGGGCCTTTCTGAGTGGAGTTTGCATGTTCTCCCCGTGTCTGCGTAGGTTTCCTCCGGGTACTCCGGTTTCCCCTACCACTAAAAATATGTCCAATAGTTCTGGCATGCGCCTCCTGTACTGGCGACCCCGCTCCCATCTCTGTGTGGAGTGAGAGATAAATGCCCAAAAATTAACAATTGTAAACCGCTTTGAGACTCAGATCTGCAGTGAAAAGGCGGTATATAAATAAAGATTACTTACTTACTTACTCCTCAGCTCCTCCTCAGTCCTGTGCAGTGGGAGGTATTGTTCATGATGGAGGTGGCTTTGGCTAGCACCGTCCTGTCCCTCTCCTCCTCCTCTAAAGCGTACTAAGGCGTACTAAAGCGTCTTAAAGCGTACTAAAACGTCTTAAAGCGGCTTAAATCGTACTAAAGCATACTAAAACGTACTAAGGCGTACTAAAGCGTACTAAGGCGTACTAAGGCGTACTAAAGCATACTAAAGCATACTAAAGCGTACTAAAACGTACTAAGGCGTACTAAGGCGTACTAAAGCGTACTAAAGCGTACTAAGGCGTACTAAAACGTACTAAGGCGTACTAAGGCGTCCTAAAGCGTCCTAAAGGGTACTAAAACGTACTAAGGCGTACTAAAGCGTCTTAAAGCATCTTAAAGCGTACTAAAGCATACTAAAACGTACTAAGGCGTACTAAGGCGTACTAGGGCGTACTAAAGCGTCCTAAAGGGTACTAAAACGTACTAAGGCGTTCTAAAGCGTACTAAGGCATACTAAGGCGTACTAAGGCGTTCTAAAGCGTACTAAAGCGTACTAAAGCGTACTAAGGCGTACTAAAGCGTACTAAAGCGTACTAAGGCGTACTAAGGCGTACTAAAGCGTACTAAAGCGTACTAAAGCGTACTAAAGCGTACTAAGGCGTACTAAAGCGTACTAAAGCGTACTAAGGCGTACTAAGGCGTACTAAGGCGTACTAAGGCGTACTAAAGCGTACTAAAGCGTACTAAGGCGTACTAAGGCGTACTAAGGCGTACTAAAGCGTCTTAAACCGTACTAAAACGTACTAAAGCGTACTAAAGCGTACTAAAGCGTCTTAAAGCGGCTTAAATCGTACTAAAGCATACTAAAACGTACTAAGGCGTACTAAAACGTACTAAAACGTACTAAGGCGTACTAAAGCGTCTTAAAGCATCTTAAAGCGTACTAAAGCGTTCTAAGGCGTACTAAGGCGTACTAGGGCGTACTAAAGCGTCCTAAAGGGTACTAAAACGTACTAAGGCGTACTAAGGCGTACTAAGGCGTACTAAAGCGTACTAAAGCGTACTAAAGCGTCTTAAAGCGGCTTAAATCGTACTAAAGCATACTAAAACGTACTAAGGCGTACTAAAACGTACTAAAACGTACTAAGGCGTACTAAAGCGTCTTAAAGCATCTTAAAGCGTACTAAAGCGTTCTAAGGCGTACTAAGGCGTACTAGGGCGTACTAAAGCGTCCTAAAGGGTACTAAAACGTACTAAAGCGTACTAAGGTGTACTAAGGCGTACTAAGGCGTACTAAAGCGTTCTAAAGCGTACTAAAGCGTACTAAAGCGTACTAAGGCGTACTAAAGCGTACTAAAGCGTACTAAGGCGTACTAAGGCGTACTAAGGCGTACTAAAGCGTACTAAGGCGTACTAAGGCGTACTAAGGCGTACTAAGGCGTACTAAAGCGTACTAAGGCGTACTAAAGCGTACTAAGGCGTACTAAGGCGTACTAAGGCGTACTAAAGCGTACTAAAGCGTACTAAGGCGTACTAAGGCGTACTAAGGCGTACTAAGGCGTACTAAAGCGTACTAAGGCGTACTAAGGCGTACTAAAGCGTACTAAAGCGTACTAAAGCGTACTAAGGCGTACTAAGGCGTACTAAGGCGTACTAAGGCGTACTAAGGCGTACTAAGGCGTACTAAAGCGTACTAAGGCGTACTAAGGCGTACTAAAGCGTACTAAGATAAGATAAGATGTGCTTTATTTATCTCACAGGAGAAATGTACATGTTACATTTGGCATGGATAGAGACACTCAGATTGTGCAAAAGGAGGAAATGTGCAAACATGTTACATGCAGGATATATATGTACAATAAAAGTGACAAGTGTCAATTGGAAACAGTGTCAATGGTAGTGCAGGTTTTCACACAGTGATCATTTAAAGTGACTTATTGTACAGTCTGACAGCAGTGGGGATAAAGGCCCTGCTCCTTCCTACACTGAGGGTGTCTCAGTCTTCCACTGAAGGAGCTCCTGGGGCGGCACGGTGGCTGAGTGGATAGCACTCTCGCTTCTCAGCAAGAAGGTCCTGGGTTCGAATCCCGGTCGGACCAGGGCCTTTCTGAGTGGAGTTTGCATGTTCTCCCCGTGTCTGCGTAGGTTTCCTCCGGGTACTCCGGTTTCCCCTACCACTAAAAATATGTCCAATAGTTCTGGCATGCGCCTCCTGTACTGGCGACCCCGCTCCCATCTCTGTGTGGAGTGAGAGATAAATGCCCAAAAATTAACAATTGTAAACCGCTTTGAGACTCAGATCTGCAGTGAAAAGGCGGTATATAAATAAAGATTACTTACTTACTTACTCCTCAGCTCCTCCTCAGTCCTGTGCAGTGGGAGGTATTGTTCATGATGGAGGTGGCTTTGGCTAGCACCGTCCTGTCCCTCACCTCCTCCACAGAGTCCAGGGGCCTCCTGTCCCTCACCTCCTCCACAGAGTCCAGGGGCCTCCTGTCCCTCACCACCTCCACAGAGTCCAGGGGCCTCCTGTCCCTCACCTCCTCCACAGAGTCCAGGGGCCTCCCGTCCCTCACCTCCTCCACAGAGTCCAGGGGCCTCCTGTCCCTCACCACCTCCACAGAGTCCAGGGGCCTCCTGTCCCTCACCTGCTCCATTAGAGTCCAGGGGCCTCCTGTCCCTCACCTCCTCCACAGAGTCCAGGGGCCTCCTGTCCCTCACCTCCTCCACAGAGTCCAGGGGCCTCCTGTCCCTCACCTCCTCCTGACCAGCTTGTTCAGTCTGTTTCTGTCCCGCTCTGTGCTGCCCGGGGCCCAGCACACGGCAGCGTAGTAAATGGCAGAAGCTACCACAGAGTCATAAAAAGTCCTGAGCAGAGGCCTGCTCACTCAGAAGGACCTCAGCCTCCTCAGAAGGACCTCAGCCTCCTCAGAAGGACCTCAGCCTCCTCAGAAGGACCTCAGCCTCCTCAGAAGGACCTCAGCCTCCTCAGAAGGACCTCAGCCTCCTCAGAAGGACCTCAGCCTCCTCAGAAGGACCTCAGCCTCCTCAGAAGGACCTCAGCCTCCTCCGAAGGACCTCAGCCTCCTCAGAAGGACCTCAGCCTCCTCCGAAGGACCTCAGCCTCCTCAGAAGGACCTCAGCCCCCTCAGAAGGACCTCAGCCTCCTCCGAAGGACCTCAGCCTCCTCAGAAGGACCTCAGCCTCCTCAGAAGGACCTCAGCCTCCTCAGAAGGACCTCAGCCTCCTCAGAAGGACCTCAGCCTCCTCAGAAGGACCTCAGCCTCCTCCGAAGGACCTCAGCCTCCTCAGAAGGACCTCAGCCTCCTCAGAAGGACCTCAGCCTCCTCAGAAGGACCTCAGCCTCCTCAGAAGGACCTCAGCCTCCTCAGAAGGACCTCAGCCTCCTCCGAAGGACCTCAGCCTCCTCCGAAGGACCTCAGCCTCCTCAGAAGGACCTCAGCCTCCTCAGAAGGAAGAGGTGACTTTGGCCCTTCTTGTGCAGGGTGTTTGTATTATGGACCAGTCCAGTTTATTGTTAATGTGAACACCCAGGTACTTGAAGCTGTCCACCAGCTCAATGTCCTCCCCCTGGATGTTCAGCAGCGTGTGGGAAAGTGGTTTTCTCCTGAAGTCGATGATCATCTCCTTGGTCTTACTGGTGTTCAAGCACAAGTGGTTGCACTCACACCAGTCGACAAAGTCCTTGATAACCAACCGATATTCCAGTTCGTTCCCCTCAGACACACAGCCCACGATGGCGGAGTCGTCGGAGAACTTCTGCAGGTGACAGAAGTTCTCCGAAGGCGTAGTAATGCGTACTAAAGTGTACTAAAGCGTACTAAAGCGTACTAAAACGTACTAAGGCGTACTAAAACGTACTAAAGCGTCCTAAAACGTACTAAAACGTTCTAAAGTGTACTAATATGTACAAAAGCGTCCTAATGTGTACTAAAGCGCCCTAAAGTGTACTAAAACGTACTAAAGTGTACTAAAGCGTACTAAAGCGTGCTAAAACGTACTAAAGCGTACTAAAGCGTACTAAAGCGTACTAAAACGTACTAAAGCGTACTAAAGCGTACTAAAGCGTGCTAAAACGTACTAAAGCGTACTAAAGTGTACTGAAGCGTACTAAAGCATACTAAAACGTACTAAAGCGTACTAAAACGTACTAATACGTACTAAAGCGTACTAATATGTACTAAAGCGTACTAATATGTACTAAAACATACTAAAACGTACTAATAAGTAATAAAGCGTACTAATATGTACTAAAGCGTACTAAAGTGTACTCAAGTGTACTAATGCGTTGTTAGGAGTCGGAGCACGTCTCTGCTCATCTGCACCTGTGGATAGATCTGATCTTTGGATTCAAGCAGCGAGGACCTGCAGCTGTGGAGGCTCTCAACGTCTTCTACTACTGCACCTACGAAGGTACATACTGCCCCTTCTAAGGTACATACTGCCCCTACGAAGGTACATACTGCCCCTACGAAGGTACATACTGCGCCTACGAAGGTACATACTGCGCCTACGAAGGTACATACTGCCCCTTCTAAGGTACATACTGCACCTACGAAGGTACATACTGCCCCTACAAAGGTACATACTGCACCTACGAAGGTACATACTGCCCCTACGAAGGTACATACTGCGCCTACGAAGGTACATACTGCACCTACGAAGGTACATACTGCCCCTACGAAGGTACATACTGCACCTACGAAGGTACATTCAAAGTAAGTAATGTTATTTATTTAGCACAGACCAGGGTCGCCCCAACGTTGAATCTGTGACGTTTTGGTTTAAGTTTTGTTTTTAGTCTGTCTCTGACTTCAGCCTCTGACCTCAGTCTCTGACCTCAGACCTCAGTCTCTGACCTCTGACCTCAGTCTCTGACCTCAGCCTCTGACCTCAGGAGCAGTGGACCTCGACGCCATCACAGATGAAAAAGAGAGAAAAGCTGTAGAAGGAATGATCAGCAACTTTGGACAGACGCCGTGTCAGCTGCTCAAGGTATTCTGTAGTATTTACAAATATATATTCAAGGTATTCTGTAGTATTTACAAATATATACTCAAGGTATTCTGTAGTATTTACAAATATATACTCAAGGTATTCTGTAGTCCCCCCTGGACTGCCACCTTAACATGGTGGGGGAGTTTGAGTACTCGGGTGATCCTGAGAGCTATGCTGTCTGGGGCTTCATGCCCCTGGTAGGGTCTCCCATGGCAGACAGGTCTCAAGTGACGAGTCAGACGAAGCGCAGTCTGAAGCCACCATGGACAGCACAAAAACAGAACACGTGACGTCGCCCGGCATGGCGCAGCCGGGGCCCCACCCTGGAGCCAGGCCTGGGGTTGGGGCTCGAATGCGAGGGTCTGGTGGCCGGGCCTTAGCCCACGGGGCCCGGTCGGGCTCAGCCCGAACGGACGACGTGGGCCAGCCCTCCTGTGGGCCCACCACCCGCAGAGGGATCCATGGGGCCTCGGTGCAGAGAGGACTGGGTAGGAGTCGAAGGCGGAGACCTCGGCGACCCAGTCCGCACACACAGCATCTGGCTGTTGGGACGTGAAACGTCACCTCACTGGAGCCCGAGCTCGTGGGGGAGGTTGAGCGATACCGACTAGAGATAGTCGGCCTCACCTCCACACACAGCTTGGGCTCTGGAACCCAACTCCTTGAGAGGGGTTGGACGCTCCACTTTTCTGGAGTTTCCCGCGGGGAGAGGCGGCGAGCTGGGGTGGCCATACTAATTGCCCCCCATCTCAGCCGCCACGTGTTGGAGTTCTCCCCAGTGAATGAGAGGGTCGCATCCCTCCACCTTCGGGTGGGGGACAAGTCTCTCACTGTTGTGACGGCCATACGGGCCTAACAGCAGTGCAGAGTACCCGGCCTTCTTGGAGTCCTTGGGGTGTGCTGGACAGTGCACCGCCCGGGGACACTTGGAGAGGGGTGATCGGGAAGAACGGCCCCCCTGATCTGAACCCGAGTGGTGTTCAGTTGTTGGACTTCTGTGCTAGTCACGGTTTGTCCATCACAAACACATGGTGTTTGTGATGGACACCAGTGCACGTGGCACCAGGACACCCTAGGCCGGAGGTCGATGATCGACTTTGTTGTCGTATCATCTGACCTTCGGCCGCGTGTCTCGGACACTCGGGTAAAGAGAGGGGCGGAGCTGTCAACCGATCACCACCTGGTCATGAGTTGGATCCGCTGGCAGGGGAGGAAGCCGGTCAGACCTGGCAGACCCAAGCGTCTAGTGAGGGTCTGCTGGGAACGTCTCGCTGATCCCCCTGTCAGACGGACTTTCAACTCTCACCTCCGGGAGAGCTTCTCCCAGGTCCCGGCGGAGGAGGGGGACATTGAGTCTGAGTGAACCATGTTCTCTTCCTCTATCGCCGATGCGGCGGCTCGTAGCTGTGGTCGCAAGGTCTCTGGTGCTGGTCCCGGCGGCAACCCCCGAACCCGGTGGTGGACACCGGCAGTAAGGGATGCCGTCAAGCTGAAGAAGGAGTCGTATCAAGCCATGATGGTTCGTGGGACTCCTGAGGCAGCTGTCCAGTACCGGCAGGCCAAGCGTCCCGCAGCCCGGGCTGTTGCAGAGGCAAAAACCCGGGACTGGGAGGAATTCGGAGAGTCCATGGAGCATGACTATAGGTCGGCCTCGAAGAGATTCTGGCAAACCGTCCGGCGCCTCAAGAGGGGGAAGCAGTGCTTTGCCAACACCGTGTACGGTGCGGGTGGAGAGCTGCTGACCGCGACTGGGGATATTGTCGGGCGGTGGAAGGAATACTTCGAGGTTCTCCTCAATCCCCCCGTCACGTCCTCTGTTTCAGAGGCTGAGGATGTTGGGGCGGATACTTCCATCTCCCTGGCTGAGGTCACCAAGGTGGTTGGCAGCCTCCATGGTGGCAAGGCGCCGGGAGTGGATGAGATCCGTCCTGATTATCTAAAGTCTCTGGATGTTGTAGGACTGTCTTGGCTGACACGTCTCTGCAACATCGCGTGGCGATCGGGGGCGGTACCAATGGAGTGGCAGACCGGGGTGGTGGTCCCTCTCTACAAGAAGGGGGATCGGAGGGTGTGTTCCAATTATCGTGGGATCACACTCCTCAGCCTCCCCGGTAAGGTCTACTCCAAGGTACTGGAGAGGAGGCTACGGCCGATGGTCAAATCTCGGATTCAGGAGGAGCAGTGTAGTTTTCGTCCCGGCCGTGGAACACTGGACCAGCTCTATACTCTCCATCGGATACTCGAGGGTTCATGGGAGTTCACCCAACCTGTCCACATGTGCTTTGTGGATTTGGAGAAGGCGTTCGACCGTGTTCCCCGGGGTGTCCTTTGGGGGGTTCTCCGGGAGTACGGGGTCCGGGGTCCTCTGCTGAGGGCCGTCAGGTCCCTGTATGAATGGAGCCAGAGCTGTGTTCGCATCAGCAGTAACTCAGACCTGTTCCCGGTGCATGTTGGCCTCCGCCAAGGCTGCCCTTTGTCACCGGTTCTGTTCACTGTATTTATGGACAGAATTTCTAGGCGCAGCCAGGGGCCGGAGGGGGTCCGGTTCAGAGACCACAAGATTTCTTCCCTGCTGTTTGCGGACGATGTTGTCCTGTTGGCTCCAACGAACCAGGACCTGCAACATGCACTGGGACGGTTTGCAGCCGAGTGTGAAGCGGCTGGGATGAGAATCAGCACCTCCAAATCTGAGGCCATGGTGCTCGACCGGAAAAAGGCGCCTTGCCCTCTCCGGGTGGGTGGAGAGGTCCTTCCTCAAGTGGAGGAGTTCAAGTATCTCGGGGTCTTGTTCACGAGTGAGGGAAGGATGGAGCGTGAGATTGACAGGCGGATCGGTGCAGCGTGCGCAGTGATGCGGTCGCTGTATCGGACCATTGTGGTGAAGTGGAGCAGCGTCTGCAGTCAGAGCTGTATCGGACCGTTGTGGTGAAGAGGGAGCTGAGCCGAAAGGCAAAGCTCTCGATTTACCGGTCAATCTTCGTTCCCTCCCTCACCTATGGTCATGAGCTTTGGGTAATGACCGAAAGAACGAGATCGCGGATACAAGCGGTCGAAATGAGCTTCCTCCGCAGAGTGGCTGGGCGCTCCCTTAGAGATAGGGTGAGGAGCTCCGTCACACGGGAGGAGCTCGGAGTAGAGCCGCTGCTCCCTTAGAGATAGGGTGAGGAGCTCAGTCACACGGGAGGAGCTCGGAGTAGAGCCGCTGCTACTCCACGTCGAGAGGAACCAGTTGAGGTGGCTCGGGCATCTGTTCAGGATGCCTCCCGGACGCCTCCCTGGGGAGGTGTTTCGTGCACGTCCCACCGGGAGGAGGCCCCGGGGAAGACCCAGGACACACTGGAGGGACTATGTCTCTCAGCTGGCCTGGGAACGCCTTGGAGTCCCCCCGGACGAGCTGGAGGAAGTGTGTGTGGTTAGGGAAGTCTGGGCGTCTCTGCTTAGACTGCTGCCCCCGCGACCCGGCAACGGATGAAGCGGAAGAAAATGGATGGATGGATGGATGGTATTCTGTAGTATTTACAAATATACAGTGCCTTGCGAAAGTATTCGGCCCCCTTGAACCTTTCAATATTTCGCCACATTTCAGGCTTCAAACATAAAAATATAAAAATTTAATTTTTTGTCAAGAATTAACAACAAGTGGGACACAATCGTGAAGTGGAACGAAATTTATTGGATAATTTAAACTTTTTTGACAAATAAAAAACTGAAAAGTGGGGCGTGCAATATTATTCGGCCCCTTGCGCTAATACTTTGTAGCGCCACCTTTTGCTGCAATTACAGCTGCAAGTCGCTTGGGGTATGTCTCTATCAGTTTTGCACATCGAGAGACTGGAATTCTTGCCCATTCTTCCTTTCAAAACAGCTCGAGCTCAGTGAGGTTGGATGGAGAGCGTTTGTGAACAGCAGTCTTCAGCTCTTTCCACAGATTCTCGATTGGATTCAGGTCTGGACTTTGACTTGGCCATTCTAACACCTGGATACGTCTATTTGTGAACCATTCCATTGTAGATTTGGCTTTATGTTTTGGATCATTGTCCTGTTGGAAGATAAATCTCCGTCCCAGTCTCAGGTCTTTTGCAGACTCCAACAGGTTTTCTTCCAGAATGGTCCTGTATTTGGCTCATCCATCTTCCCATCAATTTTAGCCATCTTCCCTGTCCCTGCTGAAGAAAAGCAGGCCCAAAGCATGATGCTGCCACCACCATGTTTGACAGTGGGGATGGTGTGTTCAGGGTGATGAGCTGTGTTGCTTTTACGCCAAACATATCGTTTTGCATTGTGGCCAAAAAGTTCGATTTTGGTTTCATCTGACCAGAGCACCTTCTTCCACATGTTTGGTGTGTCTCCCAGGTGGCTTGTGGCAAACTTTAAACAAGACTTTTTATGGATATCTTTGAGAAATGGCACTCTTCCATAAAGGCCAGATTTGTGCAGTGCACGACTGATTGTTGTCCTATGGACAGACTCTCCCACCTCAGCTGTAGTTATCTGCAGTTCATCCAGAGTGATCATGGGCCTCTTGGCTGCATCTCTGATCAGTCTTCTCCTTGTTTGAGATGAAAGTTTGGAGGGACGGCCGGGTCTTGGAAGATTTGCAGTGGTCTGATACTCCTTCCATTTCAATATAATTGCTTGCACAGTGCTCCTTGAGATGTTTAAAGCTTGGGAAATCTTTTTGTATCCAAATCCGGCTTTAAACTTCTTCACAACAGTATCTCGGACCTGCCTGGTGTGTTCCTTTGTCTTCATGGTTCTCTCTGTGCTTTAAACAGAACCCTGAGACTATCAAAGAGCAGGTGCATTTATACGGAGACTTGATTACACACAGGTGCATTCTATTTATCATCATCAGTCATTTAGGACAACATTGGATCATTCAAAGATCCTCACTGAACTTCTGGACTGAGTTTGCTGCACTGAAAGTAAAGGGGCCGAATAATATTGCACGCCCCACTTTTCAGTTTTTTATTTGTTAAAAAAGTTAAAATTATCCAATCAATGTTGTTCCACTTCACGATTGTTGTTGATTCATGACAAAAAATTAAAATTTTATATCTTTATGTTGGAAGCCTGAAATGTGGCGAAATGTTGAAAGGTTCAAGGGGGCCGAATACTTTCGCAAGGCACTGTATAATCAAGGTGTTCTGTAGTATATATGTTGTAGGAGCCACATCTTGTCAGACTGACTCTGGAGGTAGTGTATATATATATATACATATATATACTTATATATATATATATATATATATATATATATATATTATATATACTACCTCCAGAGTCAGTCTGACAGGATTAGGCTCCTACAACATATATATATATACTGTTGAGTCAATTAACAGAGGCCCAGAGAGGTGCAATGAAAAGACCAGTACCCAGAAAGTACAGCCAGATGACCATACCTGAAGCACTCGAAACTGCCAAACAAAGGCTCCAAGCCCTGGCCAGCCGCCTACAGAGGTACACTAAAGAGAATGAAGCCAGAAGGGTGAACAGACTGTTCGCAACACAACCTGCGAAGGTGTACGCTCAGTGGCAGGGTAACAACAGGGGAGCAGACCCACCGAGGCTGGAAACTGAACAGTTCTGGAAGAACATATGGGAGAAGGATGCAGCACATAACAGAAGTGCACAATGGCTGGTGTCCCTGAGAGAGGAGCACAGCCACCTCCCAGAACAGAACTCAGTTACCATCACAGAGGCAGACATCCGAGAAAGAGTCTCAGGTATGAAAAACTGGACAGCACCTGGCCCTGATATGGTCCATGCCTACTGGCTAAGGACACTCGCATCACTCCATGAGCGCCTAGCAGCACAAATGAACCAGCTGCTGAGAGATGGGTCTCACCCAGAATGGCTAACCGAAGGGCGAACGGTCCTGATCATGAAGGACCCTGTCAAGGGTGCAGTCCCCTCCAACTACCGGCCAATAACCTGTCTCTCCACAACATGGAAGCTCATGTCAGGCATCATTGCGGCTAAGATAAGTGGGCATATGGAACAATTCATGAGCACAGCACAGAAGGGCATTGGTAGAGACACCAGAGGAGCCAAACACCAGCTCCTGTAGAGACACCAGAGGAGCCAAACACCAGCTCCTGCAGAGACACCAGAGGAGCCAAACACCAGCTCCTGTAGAGACACCAGAGGAGCCAAACACCAGCTCCTGGTTGACAGAACAGTCGCCCAAGACTGCCGGTCACGACACACCAACCTGTGCACAGCCTGGATTGATTACCAGAAAGCCTACGACTCAATGCCACACACATGGATCATGGAATGCTTGAAGTTGTACAATATACACAGGGCTCTAAGGGACTTCGTTGCAAACTCGATGGGAATGTGGAAGACCACCCTTGAGGCAAATGGCAAGCCGCTCGCACAAGTGACCATCAAATGTGGTATCTACCAAGGAGATGTAGAAATGTAGCAGGATGGTGACTCGGAGAGGCAAGGTAGTCCACACAGAAAGGATCTCACTCCCAGAGGGAACAATAGCAGACGTTGAGGACAGTTACAAGTATCTCGGTATACCACAGGCAAATGGCAACCTCGAACAGGTGACGAGGCAACTGCCAAATACCTCCAGCGAGTAAGGCAGGTCCTAAGAAGCCGGCTCAATGGCAAGAACAAGGCCCGGGCAATTAACAGCTACGCCCTGCCAGTGATCAGATACCCTGCAGGAATAATCAGGTGGCCAAAGGAAGAGATTGAGACCACGGATGTTAAAACTCGAAAGCTCCTTACCATGCATGGCGGGTTCCATCCCAAATCCAGCACCCTGAGACTGTACGTAAGCTGTAAAGAAGGAGGCCGAGGACTAGTGAGTGTGAGAGCCACTGTCCAGGACGAAACATCCAAACTCCATAACTACATCATGGAGAAGGCCAAAACGGATGACGTACTCAGTGAATGTCTCAGGCAGTGGCGAGATGAGGAGGTGCTGGAGGAGAGCCCATCATGGGAGAACAAGCCCCTACACGGCATGTACCACCGGAGCATAACAGAAGTGGCTGATCTCAAGAAGTCCTACCAATGGCTAGAAAGGGCTGGCCTACAGGACAGCACAGAGGCACTCATCATGGCTGCACAGGAACAGGCACTGAGCACCAGAGCGATAGAGGCCCAGATAGACCACACCAGACAAGACCCAAGGTGTCGGTTGTGCAAAGAGGCACCTGAGACGATCCAACACATAACTGCAGGGTGCAAGATGCTGCAGGGAAGGCCTACATGGAACGCCATAACCAAGTGGCTGGCATAGTGTACAGAAACATCTGTGCAGAGTATGGGCTGGAAACCCCAAGGTCTAAGTGGGAAACTCCTCCAAAGGTGGTGGAGAATGAGCAAAGATCCTGTGGGACTTCCAGATACAGACCGACCGAATGGTAATGAACCAACCTGACATCGTGGTGGTGGACAAAGGGCAGAGGACAGCCGTGGTGGTGGACAAAGGACAGAGGACAGCCGTGGTGGTGGACAAAGGGCAGAGGACAGCCGTGGTGGTGGACAAAGAGCAGAGGACAGCCGTGGTGGTGGACAAAGGACAGAGGACAGCCGTGGTGTTGGACAAAGGACAGAGGACAGCCGTGGTGGTGGACAAAGGACAGAGGACAGCCGTGGTGGTGGACGTGGCAATTCCAAGCGATGGTAACATCCGGAAAAAGAACATGAAAAGCTTGAGAAATACCAAGGTCTCAGAGAGGAGCTGGAGAGGGCCTGGAGGGTAAAGGTGACAGTAGTGCCCGTGGTGATCGGTGCACTCGGGGCAGTGACCCCGAAGCTAGAAGAGGTTACAGCGGATCCCTGGAACAACCTCGGACATCTGGGTCCAGAAATGCTAGGAACAGCAAAGATACTGCGCAGAGCCCTCAAGCTCCCAGGCCTCTGGTAGAGGACCCGAGCTTAGAGAGGGATAACCGCCCACGGAGGGCCAAAGGTGAGTGGACAAGTTTTATATATATATATATGTTGTAGGAGCCACATCCTGTCAGACTGACTCTGGAGGAGGTGGAGAAGAGAAAGGGTCTGGACTCGAGTCCCTTAAACCTTTTTCAACACATCTCTGACATCAAGTCTTTCTTTGTGGAGGTTTGGATTATTTATTATTATATAGTATTTATTATTATATAGTATTTATTGTTATATAGTATTTATTACATAGTATTTATTGTTATATAGTATTTTTATATAGTATTTTTATATAGTATTTATTATATAGTATTTATTATATAGTATTTATTATTATATAGTATTTATTGTTATATAGTATTTTTATATAGTATTTATTATATAGTATTTATTGTTATATAGTATTTTTATATAGTATTTATTATATAGTATTTATTATTATATAGTATTTATTGTTATATAGTATTTTTATATAGTATTTATTATATAGTATTTATTGTTATATAGTATTTATTACATAGTATTTATTGTTATATAGTATTTTTATATAGTATTTATTATATAGTATTTATTATTATATAGTATTTATTGTTATATAGTATTTTATATAGTATTTATTATATAGTATTGTTATATAGTATTTATTATATAGTATTTATTATATAGTATTTATTGTTATATAGTATTTATTATATAGTATTTATTGTTATATAGTATTTTTATATCGTATTTATTATATAGTATTTATTGTTATATAGTATTTATTATATAGTATTTATTATATAGTATTTATTATTATATAGTATTTATTATTATATAGTATTTATTTTTATATAGTATTTATTGTTATATAGTATTTATTATATAGTATTTATTATATAGTATTTATTGTTATATAGTATTTATTATATAGTATTTATTATTATTATATAGTATTTTTATATCGTATTTATTATATAGTATTTATTGTTATATAGTATTTATTGTTATAAAGTATTTATTATATAGTATTTATAGTGTTGCTGATGTTTATTATGCCTCACTATCACTCTATATGTTCCTTATGTTATATATATGTTACTTATACAGTATGTTATATATATGTATATTAGGGCTGTCAAACGATTACAATTTTTAATCGAGTTAATTACAGCCTAAAAATGTATTAATCCTAATTAATCACATTTCAAACTATGGACAAAATGATGGCGTATTGTTCTGTAAGTGGTTGTTAGGGTTAGGTGAGTGGAAAGATACATGACATCATAGTGAACATATGTAATGTATTTGTTATAATAATAAATCCATGTAAAATTCCATTAACATTATTGACCATCTGTCTTTCTGTTTAGACTCAGACCAAACTATTGTTTGTTACAGATGAGGGTCATTTCAAAAGAGTAAGAAATGCATAATGTCATTAAATCTGTCATGAACTGGTAGTGGAAGGGAGAATTAGGTCCCTCAGCTTTAATTTAGCGAGTGCGCTTCGGGAGAAGACACGGAGGAGACTGAGGCTCCGTTGTATATATGTATATATGTATATATGCATTCTGAGTGTTATTATGGGATGCGTGGGCATGCGTTAATTGCGTTAATTTTTTTTACGCGATTAATGAAAAAAAATCATTAACGTGCGTTAACGCGATAATTTTGACAGCCCTAATATATATATTTGTTATATATATATGTTATATGTTATATATATGTTCCTTCAGGGCATCAGTGACCATGTGCCTCTGGTCAAAGCTGTGGTTCCTAAAAACCAGTCTCACTCTTTCATCACACAAGGAAGTCCTGACACTCTGGTAAGAACCATAGAGCTGCACCATAGAGCTGCACCATAGAGCTGCACCATAGAGCTGCACCATAGAGCTGCACCATAGAGCTGCACCATAGAGCCTCATCATAGAGCTGCACCATAGAGCTGCACCATAGAGCTGCACCATAGAGCTGCATCATAGAGCTGTACCATAGAGCTACACCATAGAGCTGCACCATAGAGCTGCATTATAGAGCCTCACCATAGAGCTGCACCATAGAGCTGCACCATAGAGCTGCATCATAGAGCTGCACCATAGAGCTGCATCATAGAGCTACACCGAAGAGCTACACCATAGAGCTACACCATAGAGCTACATCATAGAGCTGTACCATAGAGCTGCACCATAGAGCTGCAACATAGAGCTACACCATAGAGCTGTTGTGTACCTGTGTGTCTCAGTGTTGTACCTGTGTCTCAGTGTTGTACCTGTGTGTCTCAGTGTTGTACCTGTGTGTCTCAGTGTTGTACCTGTGTCTCAGTGTTGTACCTGTGTCTCAGTGTTGTACCTGTGTGTCTCAGTGTTGTACCTGTGTGTCTCAGTGTTGTACCTGTGTGTCTCAGTGTTGTACCTGTGTGTTGCAGGTGGTCCTGAACCAGAGCTGTGTGTTTGCGACTCATGGATGGCTTCCTTACAACAAGAACATCTCCAACTATTTCACCTTCATCAAGGATCCCACCGTCTCCAGCTCTAAGTTAGATTCATTCATCTCTAAGTTAAATTAAAGGTATACAAGAGGATTTTCTACTTCCGGGTGGATCATCAACACTATTGGTCCTCCCAAATGTCAATCATTCTGTTTATACGTCCTTGTCCTATAAGAGCAGAGAGTTTTGTTCAAAAAGTAGAAAGGGCGGTTCTTTCCTAAAATATGGGAAAATCCTCCTTTATACCTTTAATTAATCTCTAAGTTAGACTCATTCATCTCTAAGTTAGACTCATTCATCTCTAAGTTAGACTCATTCATCTCTAAGTTAGACTCATTCATTTCTAAGTTAGATTAATTCATGTCTAAGTTAGACTCATTCATCTCTAAGTTAGATTCATTCATCTCTAAGTTAGATTCATTCATCTCTAAGTTAGATTCATTCATGTCTAAGTTAGACTCATTCATTTCTAAGTTAGATTAATTCATGTCTAAGTTAGACTCATTCATCTCTAAGTTAGATTCATTCATCTCTAAGTTAGATTCATTCATGTCTAAGTTAAATTAATTAATCTCTAAGTTAGACTCATTCATCTCTAAGTTAGACTCATTCATCTCTAAGTTAGACTCATTCATCTCTAAGTTAGACTCATTCATTTCTAAGTTAGATTAATTCATGTCTAAGTTAGACTCATTCATCTCTAAGTTAGACTCATTCATCTCTAAGTTAGATTCATTCATCTCTAAGTTAGATTCATTCATGTCTAAGTTAGACTCATTCATCTCTAAGTTAGATTCATTCATGTCTAAGTTAGACTCATTCATCTCTAAGTTAGACTCATTCATCTCTAAGTTAGACTCATTCATCTCTAAGTTAGACTCATTCATCTCTAATGGTGCGTTCAGACCAAACGCGAGCGGCCAAAGCGGCGGGTTTACATTGAAAATACACGGGGGACGCGCGCCGAAGAGCGGCGAGACATCACGCAGCGCGTCTTTGAGCGTTTGTCTGCGTTTTGAGATTTCAAGTGTTTTGAGATTTCAAGTGTTTTGAGATTTCAAGCGTTTTGAGATTTCAAGTGTTTTGAGATTTCAAGCGTTTTGAGATTTCAAGCGTTTTGAGATTTCAAGTGTTTTGAGATTTCAAGTGTTTTGAGATTTCAAGCGTTTTGAGATTTCAAGCGTTTTGACGCACGTTCCACACGAAACGTGCCTCCGACGCAGCCGCCGCTAGAGTTGAACATTGTTGAACTTTTTGGGAGAAGACGCGAGCCTTCGACCAATCAGGAGCTTTCTCCTACAGTGACGACAGGACCGAGGGGAAGACAACACATCAGCTGTGGAGGACAAGAGGTGCTGTGAGCCCCGCGGACTAAACTACTGTGACACGGAGGAGGCTAGTGAGGAAGTTGGTGTCTCGGGTTATTTAAGTTATTCAATCTTTTCACAATGGTTTATACTTCCCTGAACAATATCTGTAATGTCACAGATTATAGCTACACACAGGAAACAGTCCATGGCAATAGAGGGGGATATTTCTCGCCTCAAATGTTATTAGAAATAACTTTTATGTCCTAAATAAAGCCAGTTTTAAACTTTTTACCTGCTCTTGGCTGCTGTGTCCTTCCCTCGGATTTGTTGAGTTGGAGAAGTCCCGCCCCTCAACGCTCTCAACGCTCTGTCACAGCGTCTGCCACAGTTTGTCACGAGCGTCCCAAGACACGCGTCAGACGCTCATTTCACGTTTGGTCTGAACGCACCATTAGTTAGACTCATTCATCTCTAAGAAGTTAGACTTTATCAGCTCTAAGTTACACTTTATGTAGCACATTCTAACTCTCTCTGTCCTCTCTCCTCTCTCCTCCTCTCTCCTCCTCTCTCCTCCTCTCTCCTCCTCCAGGACCCAGCGCCTCCTCCCTGGTCCCTTTGCTCCTGGTTTGGAGGTGTGCCCAAACTTGTTTGTAGTTTCTCACGATGGTAAAGTGTTGTTCAGTGGAGGACACTGGGACAACAGCCTCAGAGTCACGTCTGTGCTGAGAGGGAGGAGCGTGGCACACATCCGCCACATGGGTAACTATATATACTTATATATACATATATACACATCCGCCACATGGGTAACTATATATACTTATATATACATATATACACATCCGCCACATGGGTAACTATATATACTTATATATACTTATATACACATCCGCCACATGGGTAACTATATATACTTATATATACATATATACACATCCGCCACGTGGGTAACTATATATACTTATATACACATCCGCCACATGGGTAACTATATATACTTATATATACATATATACACATCCGCCACGTGGGTAACTATATATACTTATATATACTTATATACACATCCGCCACATGGGTAACTATATATACTTATATATACATATATACACATCCGCCACATGGGTAACTATATATACTTATATATACATATATACACATCCGCCACGTGGGTAACTATATATACTTATATGTACTTATATACACATCCGCCACATGGGTAACTATATATACTTATATATACATATATACACATCCGCCACGTGGGTAACTATATATACTTATATATACTTATATACACATCCGCCACATGGGTAACTATATATACTTATATATACTTATATACACATCCGCCACATGGGTAACTATATATACTTATATATACATATATACACATCCGCCACATGGGTAACTATATATACTTATATATACTTATGTATACTTTTATATACATATATACACATCCCCTACATGGGTAACTATATATACTTATATATACTTATGTATACATATATACTAGGGCTGTCAAACGATTAATTTTTTTTGTTGATTAATCGCATAGTAATGGTGAGTTAACTCACGATTAATTGCACTTTAAGCCTTCTATTTCAAATCCACTCCAATTGAAGTTAAATGAGTTTTTCAAATGTAATGACACATTGTTATTCATACCAAATGTACTTCAATCTGTTTGACTTGCTTACAACCTTCTACTTTTGGGTACAACCAACAAGAGCTGTTAATGAAAGGGAAAATGTAGGTACCCCAGCTTTAATTTTGCGAGTTTGGTTGCATTTCAGCGTGTCTCCTTCGTGTGTCACACAACATCAGAGAATGGCCCCTGTGCGTGTATATATGTGTGTATTATATGACCACGTTACCGCTGTCACCATCACACACGCACGTGTCCGTGGCATTCTGAGTGATATTATTATAAATGGGCGGGTCATTCTGAGTGATATTTTTATAAATGGGCGGGTCATTCTGACATGTGATTGACTGCCAGCCTATTTCAGAACAGGTACTCCCATATTGCCAGACTTTTCTGATGATTTTTACTGAATTTTCAAAACCCACAGAATATTGTGTACTATGACTATCTGAAATCCAAAACAGGATTCTGAAAGAATGGACTGTCTACTTTCATCAGCAAAAATGATTTTGTTTCTAGCTTGTTTCGTTCCCCTGTAATCCCCAGTCGAGTAGAGGTAAGTTTTATTGAAATCACCAGAAAGTGCATCTAGCTGTTTTCAAACCATTCATAGAGCAATGCTGCCATCTGCTGGCTCGATAAAATATTGCCTCAAGCCTTACATATTTGATACAAGACATCTGGGAACGTGAAAATAGCGGGAAACGCAATTGACGTCAATGGCAGTTAATGCGTTAATTATTTTTTTAACGCGTTAATGAAAACGGTAATTAACGTGAATTAACGTGATCATTTTGACAGCCCTAATATATACACATCCGCCACATGGGTAACTATATATACTTATATATACTTATGTATACTTATATATACACATCCGCCACATGGGTAACTATATATACTTATATATACTTATGTATACTTATATATACACATCCGCCACATGGGTAACTATATATACTTATATATACTTATGTATACTTATATATACATATATACACATCCGCCACATGGGTAACTATATATACTTATACTTATGTATACATATATACACATCCGCCACATGGGTAACTATATATACTTATATATACTTATATGACTCTCGTCTGTGTCTTTACCAATGCTTTTGAGATATTTGTGAAGTATGTTCATGTCGACTTGGTTTTGTGTGATACGGGCTGTGGACAGATCGTCATGGTAACGGTCCGAGATGGGAAAATATCAGATCGGTAATCAGCCAATCAGAGCGCGCGTACGGTCCAAGTCATATAATAAATATATATATTTCTGAGTGGAGTTTGCATGTTCTCCCCATGTCTGCGTAGGTTTCCTCCGGGTACTCCGGTTTCCCCTTCCACTAAAAACATGTCCAATACTTCTGGCATGTGCCTGCTGTACTGGCCCCGCTCCCATCTCTGTGTGGAGCGAGAGACAAATGCCCAAAAATAACAATTGTAAACCGCTTTGTGACTCTGGTCTGTGAAAGGCGGTTTATAAATAAAGATTACTTACTTACTTACTTGGGTAAGTAAGTAAGTGGGTATATGGGTAAATATATATACAGTGCCTTGCGAAAGTATTCGGCCCCCTTGAACCTTTCAACATTTCGCCACATTTCAGGCTTCAAACATAAAGATATAAAATTTAAATTTTTAGTCATGAATCAACAACACAATCGTGAAGTGGAACAAAATTTATTGAATAATTTAAACTTTTTTAACAAATAAAAAACTGAAAAGTGGGGCGTGCAATATTATTGGGCCCCTTTACTTTCAGTGCAGCAAACTCAGTCCAGAAGTTCAGTGAGGATCTTTGAATGATCCAATGTTGTCCTAAATGACTGATGATGATAAATAGAATGCACCTGTGTGTAATCAAGTCTCCGTATAAATGCACCTGCTCTTTGATAGTCTCAGGGTTCTGTTTAAAGCACAGAGAGAACCATGAAGACAAAGGAACACACCAGGCAGGTCCGAGATACTGTTGTGGAGAAGTTTAAAGCCGGATTTGGATACAAAAAGATTTCCCAAGCTTTAAACATCTCAAGGAGCACTGTGCAAGCAATTATATTGAAATGAAAGGAGTATCAGACCACTGCAAATCTACCAAGACCCGGCCATCCCTCCAAACTTTCATCTCAAACAAGGAGAAGACTGATCAGAGATGCAGCCAAGAGGCCCATGATCACTCTGGATGAACTGCAGATAACTACAGCTGAGGTGGGAGAGTCTGTCCATAGGACAACAATCAGTCGTGCACTGCACAAATCTGGCCTTTATGGAAGAGTGGCAAGAAGAAAGCCATTTCTCAAAGATATCCATAAAAGTCTGGTTTAAAGTTTGCCACAAGCCACCTGGGAGACAAACCAAACATGTGGAAGAAGGTGCTCTGGTCAGATGAAACCAAAATCACACTTTTTGGACACAATGCAAAACGATATGTTTGTCGTAAAAGCAACACAGCTCATCACCCTGAACACACCATCCCCACTGTCAAACATGGTGGTGGCAGCATCATGCTTTGGGCCTGCTTTTCTTCAGCAGGGACAGGGAAGATGGCTAAAATTGATGGGAAGATGGATGGAGCCAAATACAGGACCATTCTGGAAGAAAACCTGTTGGAGTCTGCAAAAGACCTGAGACTGGGACGGAGATTTATCTTCCAACAGGACAATGATCCAAAACATAAAGCCAAATCTACAATGGAATGGTTCACAAATAGACGTATCCAGGTGTTAGAATGGCCAAGTCAAAGTCCAGACCTGAATCCAATCGAGAATCTGTGGAAAGAGCTGAAGACTGCTGTTCACAAACGCTCTCCATCCAACCTCACTGAGCTCCAGCTGTTTTGCAAGGAAGAATGGGCAAGAATTCCAGTCTCTCGATGTGCAAAACTGATAGAGACATACCCCAAGCGACTTGCAGCTGTAATTGCAGCAAAAGGTGGCGCTACAAAGTATTAGCGCAAGGGGGCCGAATAATATTGCACGCCCCACTTTTCAGTTTATTTGTTAAAAAAGTTTAAATTATCCAATAAATTTTGTTCCACTTCACGATTGTGTCCCACTTGTTGTTGATTCTTGACAAAAAATGTAATTTTTATATCTTTATGTTTGAAGCCTGAAATGTGGCGAAATGTTGAAAGGTTCAAGGGGGCCGAATACTTTCGCAAGACACTGTATTGTATATACAGTGTGTATACTTATATATACATATATACACATCCGCCACATGGGTAATTATTCACACTATAGTATACTATATATACTATAGTATAGTATACTATATATCCAGATGGTTTTGGACCTGAACCCAGTCCAGATGGTTTTGGACCTGGACCACAGAGTGAAGGGGCCAACAAGTGCTAAGCATCATGGGAACTCAGACCATTTCAGGTCCTGTTGAAGCTCATCCAGAGAATGCCAAGAGTGAAGCAGTATCAGAGCAAAAGGAGCTACATTGTAGAACCAGAATATAACACATATTTACACTTGGTTCATACTTTTTTACTACGGACATAATTCACATGAGTTCATCATAGGTTTGAGGCCCTCAGAGTCAATCTACAGTTTTCATAATCATGTGTGTGTGTATGTGTACATGTGTGTGTGCTATTAGGAATTTAAATGTTTACTTAAGTCATTTTTTTGTAATTGAGCTTCTCCCAGGTCCCGGCGGAGGAGGGGGGATATTGAGTCTGAGTGGACCATGTTCTCTTCCTCTATCGCCGATGCGGCGGCTCGTAGCTGTGGTCGTAAGGTCTCTGATGCTGGTCCCGGCGGTAACCCCCGAACCCGGTGGTGGACACCGGCAGTAAGGGATGCCGTCAGGCTGAAGAAGGAGTCCTATCGAGCCATGATGGTTCGTGGGACTCCTGAGGCAGCTGTCCAGTACCGGCAGGCCAAGCGTGCCGCGGCCCGGGCTGTTGCAGAGGCAAAAATCCAGGACTGGGAGGAGTTCGGAGAGTCCATGGAGCATGACTATCGGTCGACCTCGAAGAGATTCTGGCAAACCGTCCGGCGCCTCAGGAGGGGGAAGCAGTTCTTTGCCAACGCCGTGTACGGTGCGGGTGGAGAGCTGCTGACCTCGACTGGGGATATTGTCGGGCGGTGGAAGGAATACTTCGAGGTTCTCCTCAACCCCCCCGTCACGTCCTCCGCCCCGGAGGCAGAGGCTGAGGATGTTGGGGCGGATACTTCCATCTCCCTGGCAGAGGTCACCAAGGTGGTTGGCAGCCTCCATGGTGGCAAGGCTCCGGGAGTGGATGAGATCCGTCCTGATTATCTAAAGTCTCTGGATGTTGTAGGACTGTCTTGGCTGACACGTCTCTGCAACATTGCGTGGCGATCGGGGGCGGTGCCAATGGAGTGGCAGACCGGGGTGGGGGTCCGTTTGGCGACCACAGGATTTCATCTCTGCTGTTTGCGGACGATGTTGTCCTGTTGGCTCCAACGAACCAGGACCTGCAGCATGCACTGGGACGGTTTGCAGCTGAGTGTGAAGCGGCTGGGATGAGAATAAGCACCTCCAAATCTGAGGCCATGGTGCTCGACCGGAAAAAGGTGCCTTGCCCTCTACAGGTGGGTGGAGAGGTCCTTCCTCAAGTGGAGGATTCAGATTCAGATTTCAGATTCATTTATTTGCCATTTGCAGTAAAACCACATTGGAAAAACTGTGCAAGACTACCCCGGTGTGCACCAGACAGAGAAGACGACACACACCAGAGCTCTTGCCACGGCGCCATCTTTACGGCGCCATGCGACAAACAGTAGAATAAACAGCATAGAGCAATAACATACAGTTTCACAGACAGTTGGATAGACACATTGTGCTTTGTATAAACCACGGATTTTTTTCTCGGGATGAGCACCTCCGACTGCCGGCCCAATGTGGCTGTCAGAGGGGGGCGGGGTCAGGGAGGGGGTGAGTCGGAAACACAATGAGGAGTGGAGGGGAGGGAGGGAGCAAGATGGATAGGTAGAGGGAGGCGGGGGGAGCGGGATCCGAGCTGGAGACTGAAATAGTGTGAGTTGTTGTAGATTAGGACCTTGTTATTATGGCCTTGGACGAGGAATGTGAGATAAGAGTGGAGAGAAGACACAGCAGGAGAAAAACACATCGCCTCAGGGGGACAATATTGTATGCAATGTAGCAGTCAGAAGCAGGCAGATATTCTATTAAATCCAATTAATCCGAATTGCGGCGCCCTCAGACCTCCGTACACAGGGGCTAATCCAAGCCGGGTCAGAGAGTTCAAGCCTGACACACGATGTCATTCAATCTCATCTCCAATGTTTTAATGTTTTATTCCCTTCGAGTGAACGAGCTGCGAGGTCTTTTATCAACTGTTCCACCAACACCACTCTCCTTTGTCCAGACACGGCACTCTCAACCACGACGCGGCTTAGCTCCTTGTACATCCCATCAATTTTGTCGGCCAGCAGGTCGTGAATATTGCGAACTGCCATGCCTCCGAATTTGCGATAGAAGAGGACCGCTCCAAACCCAAACAGGAGGATCCCCACCACCAAAATGCCAAAGATATATACGTCTTCCGAATCTTCAATGGACAGGACCGACAGACAGAGGGGCTGATACTTGTTCCAGCTGTCAAGCGTATACCCCGCTGGTGAAGTCCCGTCCGGGCACACGGGCTCTCCAGACCCACGCTTACGTGTTGAAAAGATAGAATCAATTGCGTTGAGGGACCAGTTAATCATTTCCATTCTTGTTAAAGTTGTCTGTGGCAAAACTCCAGGAAAAAGACAAAAACAGGAGATAGCAAGCAGTCAGAAGCAGGAGCGGTCTGAGACACGACTGTGCTCGACGGAGGCGGAAGAGAGCAAGTTCAAGTATCTCGGGGTCTTGTTCACGAGTGAGGGAAGGATGGAGCGTGAGATTGACAGGCGGATCGGTGCAGCGTGCGCAGTTATGCGGTCGCTGTATCGGACCGTTGTGGTAAAGAGGGAGCAGCGTCTGCAGTCAGAGCTGTATCGGACCGTTGTGGTAAAGAGGGAGCAGCGTCTGCAGTCAGAGCTGTATCGGACCGTTGTGGTAAAGAGGGAGCAGCGTCTGCAGTCAGAGCTGTATCGGACCGTTGTGGTGAAGAGGGAGCTGAGCCGAAAGGCAAAGCTCTCGATTTACCGGTCAATCTTTGTTCCCTCCCTCACCTATGGTCATGAGCTTTGGGTAATGACCGAAAGAACGAGATCGCGGATACAAGCGGTCAAAATGAGCTTCCTCCTCAGAGTGGCTGCTCCCTTAGAGATAGGGTGAGGAGCTCGGTCACACGGGAGGAGCTCTGAGTAGAGCCGCTGCTTCTCCACGTCGAGAGAAACCAGTTGAGGTGGCTCGGGCATCTGTTGCGGATGCCTCCTGGACGCCTCCCTGGGGAGGTGTTCCGGGCACGTCCCACCGGGAGGAGGCCCCGGGGAAGACCCAGGACACGCTGGAGGGACTATGTCTCTCAGCTGGCCTGGGAACGCCTTGGGGTCGGACGAGCTGGAGGAAGTGTGTGTGGATAGGGAAGTCTGGGCGTCTCTGCTTAGACTGCTGCCCCCGCGACCCGGCAACGGATGAAGCGGAAGAAAATGGATGGATGGATGGATGGAGTTTTACTGTTAATTGTACACTGTATGTGTTTGATCTATATTTGTTCATTTTTCTCTGAATGTGAGATTTAATGAAGATAATATCAAAGAATCTAATACTATTCTACGATTGTACATTTGGCCTCAGTCCCATTGAAGATGTTTTTAAACCTGTAAAATGTTGAAGAATAAATGATGAACCATCTTTCCACAGACATCGTCACGTGTCTCTCCACAGATCTGTGTGGGATCCACCTGATGTCAGGCTCCAGGGACACCACCTGTATGGTGTGGCAGGTGCTGCAGCAGGTACTGCCCTTTCATTCATTCATTCATTCATTCACTCATTCATTCATTCATTCATTCATTCATTCATTCATTCATTCATTCACTCATTCACTCATTCACCCATCCATTAATTCATTTACTCAGTCACTCTCTCTCTCTCTCTCAGGGGGGGGCTGTGGTCGGCCTCCATCCCAAACCGCTGCAGGTTCTGTGCGGTCACACAGATGAAGTGGTGAGTGTTAGCATCAGCACCGAACTGGACGTAGCAGCGTCTGGATCCAGGGTAAGACTGTAACCTTATGAATGTGTTATAATTACGTCATCTAAAGCAGGGGTTCCCAAACTTATTGACCTTATGAATGTGTTACTGTCACGTCCTCTAAAGTGTCCTCTAAACCAGTTTAAACCGGTTTGTAGAGTCTTATTGGGAGTTTCAGTCAGATGCAAATAAATTCTACTTGTGTGTGTCGTTGTGTTGCAGGATAACAGTTGTGTGTTTGTGTTGCAGGATGGGACTGTAATAATGCACTCGGTCCGTAGGGGGCAGTACCTGCGCTGTCTGCGTCCGCCCTGTGACAGTTCCCTGCCTCTGTCCGTCCTGCACCTGTGTGTGTCCTGGGACGGACACCTGCTCCTACACACCTGTGTGGAGGGCAAGGCTACTCTGAAGGTCAGTCTGGGTATCACAGGTACAGCTAACAATACTACACCTGTGTGGAGGGCAAGGCTACTCTGAAGGTCAGTCTGGGTATCACAGGTACAGCTGTGTGTGTGTGTGTGTGTGTTGTGTAGCTGTTTAACAGTTGTGTGTTGTTGTGTTGCAGGATAAGAATGCTCTACACCTGTTCCCTGTGTGTGTGTGTGTGTTGTGTAGCTGTTTAACAATTGTTTGATGTTGTGTTGCACGATAAGAATGCTCTACACCTGTTCTCTGTGTGTGTGTGTGTGTGTGTGTTGTGTAGCTGTTTAACAGTTGTTTGATGTTGTGTTGCAGGATAAGAATGCTCTACACCTGTTCTCTGTGAATGGGAAGCTGCTTCGCTCTGAGTCTCTGAAAGAACAAGTCTCTGACATGTGTGTGAGCGGAGAATATGTGATCATAGGTACAGAGCAGGGGAATCTCTGTATCTACGACCTGTACAGGTACACACACACACATACAGTACACACATATATATATATATATATATATATATATATATATATATATATATATATATATACATACACACACACACGTATAGATATACATACGCACACACACATATATATGCAGACATGTCGTCCCTCCAGCCTGTGGCTGTGGACTTTAATCTTAATAATAATAATGCATCAGTTTTATTCAGCACTTTTCTGGACTCTCAAAGTCTCTTCACATGTCATTATCCTTTCACTCCAAACACGGTGGTGATAAACTACTGTAGCCACAGCTGCCCTGGGGCACACTGACAGAAGCGAGGCAACCAGTCTGTGCCATCGGCCCCTCCCACCACCACCAACCATTCACACACACACCAGACTCATTCTAGGCAATGGGGGTAAAGTGTCTTGCCCAAGGACACAACGGCAGTTTGGCACTTTACAGCCACAGCCGCCCCACTGTGGCTGGTGTTCCCAGAGGTTAAGTGTCTGACGATTACAATCCTAATCTTAATCCATCATGCCTGTGTTTGTAGATTATAATCCTAATCTTAATCCCTCCAGCCTCTGTCTAAGCGTGGCGCCCATGGCGATGCGTGTGCCAGTGCGGTGTGTGTCCGTGACTAAAGAGCAGAGCCATGTCCTGGTGGGTCTTCATGACGGGAAACTGATCATTGTCGGAGTCGGACGTCCTGCGGAGGTAAAGAACTCTCTGAGGAACTACATCACCCAGAGTCTGGAGGCCTCACCTCTGCTCGCCCCGCTCCGGGCTCGTTCTCCAACCCGCCTCCTAAACCAGCGGGACCAGCTGGTCTTCAGTCCACCACCAAGTCCTCACAACACCACACACACAGTTTAGTCTACATAACACCACACACACACTAGTCTACACAACACCACACACACACTGTGGTCTACACAACACCACACACACACTGCAGTCTACACAACACCACACACACAGTAGTCTGCACAACACCACACACACACTGTAGTCTACACAACACCACACACACTAGTCCTCACAACACCACACACATACTGTAGTCCTCACAACACCACACACACTGTAGTCCTCACAACACCACACACACACACACACAGTAGTCCTCACAACACCACACACACGGTAGTCCTCACAACACCACACACACTGTAGTCCTCACAACACCACACACACACACACACACGGTAGTCCTCACAACACCACACACACGGTAGTCCTCACAACACCACATACACTGTAGTCCTCACAACACCACATACACTGTAGTCCTCACAACACCACTCACACACACACACTGTAGTCCTCACAACACCACACACACACACACACAGCAATCCTCACAACACACACACACACGGTAGTCCTCACAACACCACACACTGTAGTCCTCACAACACCACACACACACACACACGGTAGTCCTCACAACACCACACACACGGTAGTCCTCACAACACCACACACGGTAGTCCTCACAACACCACACACACTGTAGTCCTCACAACACCACACACACTGTAGTCCTCACAACACCACACACACTGTAGTCCTCACAACACCACACACACTGTAGTCCTCACAACACCACACACACACACACACGGTAGTCCTCACAACACCACACACACGGTAGTCCTCACAACACCACTCACACACACACACTGTAGTCCTCACAACACCACACACACGGCAATCCTCACAACACACACACACACGGTAGTCCTCACAACACCACACACACTGTAGTCCTCACACCTAGTTGTGTAGACTACTATAATATAATATGTATTATTATTATTATATCATTTATTATAGAATTTAAATTTTTGTTTCGTCATAAACATGTCACCTGTCAATCATTTTACCATCACTCACCCAAAGTGAACCATGATCCTCTTTTTATTTCCTTCACACCCATCACCCCCCTCTCTTCCTCTCCCCCCTCCCCCTCTCTCTCCCCCTCTCTCCCCGTCTCCCCCTCTCTCTCTCTCTCTCCCTCTTCCTCACTCCCCCTCTCTCTCCCCGTCTCCCTCTCTCTCCCTCTCCCCGTCTCCCTCTCTCTCCCTCTCCCCGTCTCCCTGTCTCTCTCTTCCTCACTCCTCCTCTCTCTCACTCTCCCCGTCTCCCTCTCTCTCCCTGTTCCTCACTCCCCGTCTCCCCCTCTCTCCCCGTCTCCCCCTCTCTCCCCGTCTCCCCCTCTCTCCCTCTCCCCGTCTCCCTATCTCTCTCTCCCTCTCCCCGTCTCCCTCTCTCTCTCTCTCCCTTTTCCTCACTCCCCCCTCTCTCCCTCTCTCCCCCTCTCTCCTTTCCCAGATTACCAGAAAACGTTGGGGTCCCAGTAAGAAAATATCCCAAATCTCATCTGAAGAAAAGATTTACACGACTGAGAATGACCAGACCTGACCCTGCTCCATCCATCACCATCCTCCTCCAACATACACAGATTATAACAGATTATAACATAGATTATAACACAGATTATAACGGATTATAAAAGATTATAACAGATGGTGTCATTCTGTGGAGAAGAGACGGTGGTGCAATAATGTTCAGACTTTTATAATAATTACAATTATTTTTTTAGATTTTCAATAAAGGAAGCTCAGATTTATGCAAGATTTAAAATGGTACACACATCTGTACACACACATCTGTACACACACATCTGCACACACACATCTGCACACACACATCTGTACACACACATCTGTACACACACATCTGCACACACACATCTGTACACACACATCTGCACACACACATCTGCACACACACATCTGCACACACACATCTGCACACACACATCTGTACACACACATCTGCACACACACATCTGTACACACACATCTGCACACACACATCTGTACACACACATCTGCACACACACATCTGCACACACACATCTGCACACACACATCTGCACACACACATCTGTAAAAGGCCAAATGTTGCACTCCAACTGTTTATACTTTCCATGTTTTAATCCCACTTCTGTGCCTGTGGTCTGAAGTGGTCTGAAGTGGTCTGAAGTGGTCTGAAGTGGACTGAAGTGGACTGAAGTGGACCTGCTGCTTCTAAAGTTTAAACTTTAAACCTTTGATGTGGCCCCGGTGCTGGCGCCGAGAGTCTGATCAAAGAGAAACCACTTCTCGACACTTTGAATCATCGCCAACTTTCACTTTGATAATGAAAGTAAAATGTGTGAGACGCCAGGTCGGTCCTGGCCTGGCCCGGCCCAGGTCGGTCCTGGCTCAGGTCGGTCCTGGCTCACATTAACTCTACATTAACTCTAAGGTACTTGGATGTTATTTATAACTAATCTGTTAAAGACTGTTTTCTGCAAAGGGCTCAAAGACGAGCAATATATATACAGTATATATATATATATATATATATATATATATATATATATATATATATATATATATATATATATATATATATATATATATATATATATATATATATATATATATATATATATATATATATATATACATATATAAATATATACATATATATACTGTATATATATGTATATATATATGTGTGTATGTATATATACATATATATATACATGTATATATATATATATGTGTGTATATATATATGTGTATGTATATATATGTATATATATATATATATATATATATATATATATATATATATATATATACATATATAAATATATACATATATATACTGTATATATATGTATATATATATGTGTGTATGTATATATACATATATATATATATATATACATGTATATATATATATATGTGTGTATATATATATGTGTATGTATATATTATGTATATGTATATATATGTATATACACATATATATATATATACACATATATATATACACACATATATATATACATATATATGTGTGTATATATATATATATAAAAAATAGTGTCACTGCTTTTTTCCTGACGCCATAATGTGAGCGGTCCAACACACAGGTGTCACTCAGATACAGGTGTCACTCAGATACAGGTGTCACTCAAATACAGGCGTCACTCAGATACAGGCGTCACTCAGATACAGGCGTCACTCAAATACAGGCGTCACTCAAATACAGGCGTCACTCAGATACAGGCGTCACTCAGATACAGGCGTCACTCAAATACAGGCGTCACTCAGATACAGGCGTCACTCAGATACAGGCGTCACTCAAATACAGGCGTCACTCAAATACAGGCGTCACTCAGATACAGGCGTCACTCAGATACAGGTGCTGCAGCTGTGTAAAGGTAGTTTCCTGATGAAAGTTACAAATGTGTTTGGTCCAAAATAAACTATTGCGTCTGTTTGATATAGCCCAGCTAGCTTAATGCTATGTGTGACATCACAACAGCAGGAGAGAAAGGACTTCTCTGACGCTAAAGAAGTATCAGGCGACTGCAATCAAAGCTTTGACCTTTTGATGATTCTGTTTCTGTACTTTTACGATCGTGCCTTTTCTCTGTTAATTTATAAATAATATGATATAAAGTCATTGATTTAATCTGCATTCCTCTG